CGATCTGTCTTCATTTGAAACTAATCCATAGATTTTGACGAGGAGATAAGAGTGGTATATCAAGAAGAGGTGTACCATAGGATAAGGATGGCATATCAAGGAGAGGTGTACCATCAGTTATAAGGATGTCATATCAAGGAGATGTGTACCTTTGAATATRAGGGTGACATTTATATGTGTGAATATTATAGCTCTTGCTATTATGTCTCTTAAGATTGCAAGAGATTTGAGTTCTTACTTCTTTGTGATTTGAGGATTCAGAGATGTTGCTCTTATCAAAAATGATAGTATTGAGAAGGGAAAAACTTGGCTTATAGCCAATAGTTTTGGATAAACTATGTTTTGGAAAAGTGTTTGGTTTATGAGTAACCAGAGAGGCTCTGGTTGTTCCTTGAAAGGAACCAGAGGGGCTCTGGTTGGTCCTCACAATAGAACCAGAGGGTTCTGGATGATGATATGATTTTGATACAAGTCTTTTACAAAACTTATATTTAAACCAGAGGCTCTGTATCTATTATATAGGAGCTCTGTGTCAAGGTTACACTTTTAAGGATGATCAAAAGATTTGTATACTTATTTTTACTTAGAAACTTTTATACAAAGTATGACAAACTAAAGGGGATCTGGTTGGTCTTCGCATTGGACCAGAAGGCCTCTAGTTGGTCTTATGTTTTGAGYCAGAAGCTCTGGCTAGTAGAACCAGAGCTTTGGTCATACTAAAAACATGTTAATGATCACTTTTATACTTGAGAAAAACTACTCTAACTACTTTTAAGTGTTTGATTACATACATTATGAAGATTTACTTGAGTGAGAACTCTGGTTGGTATAACCAGAAGTTCTGGTAGAGGAACCAGAAGCTCAGGTCCTGTTGCTTATGGAAATATTTTCTAAGTCTGGTCTTAGGGACCAGAGGACCGATGGACTAAAACAGATTATGGAYTTACATTTCAGTATGTGAAATGATTTATTTAAATAATGTTTTGGTGATTTTCACTCTGCATTTACATGAAAAAAGGGATATCACTAGACCTTCAGGTCTAACCCTCATTTTGTGTTTCAAATATGTATTGCAGGTACTGCAGAGTATAATGATAGTAAAGGAAAGGAAAAATATGATAGTTTCCCTATATGCATGACTATATGAAGATCAGTGGATGTGTTTTTGATGATGAATGTTACATGTAGTACAAGATCATGTATTTGGAATTTTTGAGTTGTGTTTTTTGTAACACAGTTCTTGTATTGTGGACCTTTATGGGATAAACATGTATTTCTTGGAATGAATTATATGTTATATGCAATGTGAGTTTGGGGTGTTACAAAATGAATTGTGTGAGCTAGATCCGGGAATAGAGAACTTTATATATGATTGAACGAATGATAGTTTCACCCCTTGAAGAATCAAGATTCTGATTCCGCTACCCTCCAAGAACTCCCATTAGTGAGGTCCTCCTTATTGACAAACAACAATATCTTTCACTTATTTACAATATCTACCCAAACCTGTTAAAAGATTAACAAATGAGAACATTCAAAGTTTAAGTCAGTTAACAAGTCAAGATTGGAAAACATATATATTTTAACACCCGCCCTCAATCTTGAATTTTAAACAGATCTATCATTTTTTAACTTTGAACACATATAATTGTGATGATTAATGCTAAGAGCTTTAATCAAGATATCAGCAGTTTGTTCTGAAGAAGGAATTTTTACTATTTTCAGAACGCCTCTACTAATTTTTTCACGAATATAATGAACATCTATTTCAATGTGTTTAGTTCTTTCATAAAAAACAGGATTATTGGCAATTTGAATAGCATATTTGTTATCACAAAACAGATTAACAGGAAGAAGATTATTAATATCTAAATCAGACATAATTTTAAGAACCTAGACAATTTCACAAGATACATAAGCCATTGCCCTATATTTTGATTATGCATAAGAGCAATAAACAGAACAAAGAACGAGAACCAGTGTTTTGTTTCTTGCTTTTCCACGAAATCAAAGAGTTTCCAAGAAATAGACAAAAACCTGTAACAGAACGTCTAGTTGATAGGCACTTACCCCAGTCAGCATCTACAAAAGCAGTTAGATTAAACAATTCTAACCTTGTAAAGCTGACTCCTTTTCCAGATGAAAATTTAAGATACATGATAATTCTAAGAGCAAGGTTTAAGTGTGATTGTCTATGAGCATGCATAAACTGACTTAGACAATGAACATCAAAGGCTATATCAGGTCGAGTTGCAAGAAGATAAATCAACCTCCCAATTAACCTTTGACACCCAGAACAATCCAGTAAAAGAGAATCTTTTGAATTATTGGAATCAGAAATGACTAAATTTACATCCATAGAAGTACTTGAAGGTTTACATCCCAAATATTTTGCAAGCAATATTTTTTTTGGGACATACAAACACCATCAATATAATCTAGAATTTCAATTCCTAAGAAGAATTTTAACTTTCCTAGATCGTTGATTAAAAACTTACTCTTTAAATACTCTTAGAAAACATTTATTTCATTCACATTGTTTCTTGTAATACCAATGTCATCCACGTATATAAGAAGAACAAGAAATACAAAATTAACATGATTGGTGAACAAAGGATAATCACTAATACTCTGCACAAAACCTTTTACAATGAAGCAAGATGAAAGCTTAGCATACCCCTGTCGAGGAGCTTGCTTTAATCCATATAAAGACAACCAATTTACACACTCGTTTATCACTAGAACTATAGTATCCTTCAGGAAGAGTCATATATATATATATATATATATCTTCTACTAAGTCACCATACAGAAAAACATTATTGACATCTAACTGAAACAAAGGCCATTTAAATTGAACAGCTAAGGCAATAATACATCTAACAGTAACCATTTTGACTACTGGAGAAAAGGTCTCTTCATAGTCAAGACCCTCTCTCTAACTTTACCCTTTAGCTACTAATCTAGCTTTATACCTTTCTATTTCACCATTGGGTTTATACTTGATTTTATAAACCCACTTACAATCTATTGCTTTTMTATTGCTAGGAAACTCAGTAATATACTAAGTTCCATTTCTATGCAAAGCCTCCATCTCATCATTCATAGCATTTATCCAATTTTGGTCAGTATAAGCTCCTTCAAAAGTTGTAGGTTCAATAGATTTATTTAGATTTGAAACAAAACAAAAAATTTCAGATGAAAGACAAGAGTAATTGACAACTTTTTCTATGTCATACTTAACCTTCCCTTCTACAACAAAGTCATCATATTTTCGAGGAAAGTTACTTGGTCTAGGAAATCTTCTAAGAGATTGAGTTTGGGAATGTATACCCTCAAAGACATGACCTAAATTATCATCATTGGTTTCAGTTGGTAAGACAGCATCACAAGGAAAACTGGCAACCATTCTAGGGCTATCCAAAGGTTGCCAACTGGTAACTCTACCAAGATCACCCTCTTGAGGAAGATCTTGACTATTTTGAATTTCAAAGCTGCCTAGTGAGTGACTATTATCAGTCTAAGAAAGGCCACCTAGTTCACTACGGTTATTGTTTCTAGAATCAAATTGATCATTTGTTTCATCAACAGGAGGTCCTCTATTCTCATCATTGGGTCCCACAACATCAAAATCATTTTAGAGGAACTAGAAACAGTATCAAAGAAATTCAAATTATTAATTTCTTCATTAATAACATGATCAGTCTTGTCATTATTCATCTTGAAAGGAAAAACACTTTCATAAAATTTTACATCCCTGGAAAAAATAATTTTCTTGGTTTCTAGACTATACACCCTATATAACCCTTTTTTGAATTAGCATATCCCAACACAACACATTTTTTMAAACTTAGGAGAAAACTTATCAAATATGTTGGGTATATGAATAAAGCAGAGAGATCCAAAATTGCGAAGATGAGTAAGAATAGGCTGAAACCCGTAAACAAGGTCGTAGGGACTCTTACCATTTAAAAGAGAGGTTGGAGTTCTATTTACAGGTATGTAGCAGTTAAAATACACTCACTCCACATATTAAGAGGAACTCYAGCCTGAAACCTGGGAGCCCTAGCAACATTAAGTAAATGTCTATGTTTACGTTCCACCACTCCATTCTGCTGGGGTGTATACATACACGAGGTTTGATGAATTATTTCTTTAGATTCAAAAAATTCACACAACTTTTGATTAGTAAACTCAGTCCCGGTATCACTTCTAAAAAATTTAACAACCTTTCCAAACTGAGTAAACAAAAAATTGCAAAAACCCTCTATAGACTCACTAACCTCGTGTTTACCTTTTAAAAGATATATCCACACAGCACGAGTAAAATCATCCACAATAGTTAAGAAAAATTTGTATCCTTCTCTACTTTGGATATCATATGGACCCCATACATCTAGATGAACAAGTTCACCTAGACTTCTGGATTTATGTATACTAGTACCAAATCTCTCTCGTGTTTGTTTTGACTTATGGAAAATCTCACAAGGACCACTACTTTCATTGCCAATATTAAGTCTTTCTTTTAAAACATAAAGCACTTGATCAGCAGGTTGACCAAGTCGACTATGCCACAATTGAGATATGACAAAAAAAACCATACCACAATCATTTGAAGAGAAAGGAACGTTACTGCTAGAATTTTGATCAAAAAAATATAGCCCTCCATCCTGACTACCAGTCCCCACAATGTTCTTCTGCAGACAGTCCTGAACATAACATTTAGTCTTATCAAACCTTATTATCTCTAGCGAGCTTATATACAGACATAAGATTTACATTAAACTCAGGGACGACAAGGACATCAAATAGAGTCATATTATTAGACAGTTTTAGGTTACCAATTTTATTTATCTTAGATCTAGTCCCATTTGGATGACTAACTCTAAGGTTTAAATCTGTGACATCCATAATATTTTCTAAGTTTAGAGAGCTAGAGGTCATGTGCTGATTAGCTTCAGAATCAATTATCCACCCAGAATAAGAATTTTGATACATACCTGCCATATTGGTAGAAGCTCCATCAGAGGTAGTTTTAGGATTGATTAAGCTCAAGATCTTAGCCATCTGCTCTTTAAAAAAACTAAAATATGATTTTGGAGAAACAGAGTCAAGGGCAGAAACATTCCCAATAGTATGTCTAAGATTGGGATTTTGGWGTTTAAAATTTTGAAATTGATTTTGAGGTATGTGTCGGTTCTGAAAATCTTTGGGGAATCCTATAAGTTTGAAACAACGTTCAATGGTATGTCCTGAGTTACCACAATGTGTTGCAAACAAGACTAGTTGGATTCCTTCCTGGTCTTCTTTTATTTTCAAAACTTTTACTTAAGAAAGCAAAATTTTGGGTTTTAACACGATTTTGATTTGAATTAACTMCTCTATGAGATTCCTCCCTTGAAACAAGTGAAAAAGCGATCTTAACGGAAGGAAGAGGATCTTTAGTTAAAATGTTGCTCCTAATAGGCTGGTAAATATCATCTAAACCTATAAGGAACTGCATGAGTTTAATTAGCTGAATGTGTTGCAAAAAATCATRGGAAGCTTTGCAAGTACAGGACGGGAGTTTCACAAGGGCATCAAACTGCTTCCGAAAGGAGTTCAGTTTATGATAATATTCATAAATGGACATACTATTTTGACTTAGAGAATTGATTTTTTGATAAAGATTAAATGTGACCGACCCATCGACTTTATCATAGGTTTCCTTTATCTCCTCCCAAACTTGAGAAGACTCTTTTGAAAAGGCTTGTCCAAGAAACAAATCCTCAATCATGGAACTTAAGATGCATGAGAGGACAACAGAATTACAACGATCCCACTATTTTTCAAGGATTGGATCATTTGTTGGACGGGGCAAGGAACCATCAATAAAGCCTATTTTATTCTTAGTTTCTAGAGCTAACACCATAGCACACGACCACACTCTGTAATTCTCAGTTCCATTTAGTTTGAAGGATAAAATAGAGCCTCCACTAGTGTCACTAGGGTGCAAATATASTGGATCTCCAAAGTCTAATTTTGTGACTTTGGATTCCATTGAACTTGTCGTTCCAGAAACAACTAGAGGAGATTCCTTCAAGCAAAGAGAGAAAGCASAGAAAAGAAAGGAACTGAATACTTAGAGGCAGGATTCCTAAAACATTGTAACGTGTTAGGTCAACCAACAAAACAGTTCCCAAGCAATAGAGGACAAAGAACACACAAAAGAAGAAAAAACAACCTTACCACAGAATCCTCTAACAGAGTTAAAGGATAAAAATAGCTAGAAAACCAACCACCTGATGACTTTTATCTTTTGTTAAAAGTACGAAAAAGAGCAAATATTAGAGAGCAACTCCAGGATGTACCTGAASAAACAACAAGAGTTAGAGCAACATGAATGCCAGATCTGGAAGGACACATATCTTGACGTAGATAAGTACAAACAGTAACATATAGTACAATGTACAGTAAAAGTAAACTATCGGGAACATAAAGAGGAATCACGAAGGGAGACCTCAATAGATCAAAAAGATCTAAGAACGGCTCGATCCAATCAATCATAAGAACCACAAGATAGAGTCAAGATTTGGGAAAAAATAGTCAAGAATGTACATGCATTTATTTTCATAAACARATCTGGAAAATAGGACGCAGATCTAAAGAGAAAGAAGCAACAGATCTAGAAAATATGACGCAGATCTGGACAAACAAAATGTACATGCATTTATTATCATAAACAGATMTGGAAAATAGGTCACAGATCTAAAGAGAAAGAAACAACGGATCTGGAAAATATGACGCATATCTAAACAAACATAATGTACATGCATTTATTATCATAAACATATCTGGAAAATAGGACACATAAAAGAAAAGGAAACAACAGATCTGAAGCATGGACACAGATCAACAATCAACCTAAGGTAGTCAGATCTCGAGARGGGACCAAATAGATTATGGTACACGCCCAATCGATCATCTCAAAAACAGAAAGAAATAGAAACTAAAAAGGCACAACCAGATATCATGGAAGGATCTAATATACAACGGCATGAAAAGCACCAAGCATCAAGAAATCCTAACCAATTACTTATCGATTTAAGATCAACAAATAAAAAGAAAACAATCACAGAAGCGAACCAGTCACTCTGATACCATGTTAAACGATACGTATATAAACGATTTTGATTATTAAGAACATTTGAATAGAAATACAAACACAAACAGATTACAATATAAATTTCTATAAATCTAAAGTTATTATGATGAATAGATGAACAAGAAAGTAAACACTAACTCAATATGAACGATAAAGATCAAAGACAGACCTTAGAGAGAGAGAGAGAGAGAGAGCTTCTTAATGTAATCGATCTTTGAAAGAACAAATGAATTGTGTGAGCTAGATCCGGGAATAGAGAACTTTATATATGATTGAACGAATGACAGATTCACCCCTTGAAGAATCAAGATTTTGACTCCGCTACCCTCCAAGAACTCCAATTAGTGAGGCGCGGTCCTCCTTATTGACAAACAACAATATCTTTGACTTATTTACAATATCTACCAAAACCTTTTGAAAGATTAACAAATGAGGACATTCAAAGTTTAAGTCAGTTAACAAGTCAATATTGGAAAACATATATATTTTAATAATGGGAAAAGTCCAAAAAAACCCAATAGACTTTATTGTTTGGAATGATTAAATCATTGGACAATTTTTTGGAACAAATAAATTTTTGGACATTCTAGAATCTATTAAATAACTTTTTGGACTTTTTAAAACATGTTAAATAGATCCTCATACTTTGAAAATGTAACCTGTAACCTGAATAGGAGGTAAACCTTAAATTAAAAAAAAAACCTAAAAAAACTCTAAAACATAAAACTCCCCATCTCCCACGTCTCCTCCTTCTCCTCCATACCACCACCTCCTTCTTCCTACTTCATGCCCACACACCACATTATCTTCTTGTTGCTTAATGTCCACGCACCACATTATCTTCTTGTTGCTTAATGCCCACGCACCACATTATCTTCTTGTTGCTTAATGCCCACGCACCACCGTCTCCCTTTCCCCCATCGCCGCTGCACCAGCTCCGTTGCCGCCCTTGTTTCCGCTCGTTGCCGCCGCACCACTGTCCCATCACCGGTCGCTGTTGTTGCACCGTCCCTATCGCTGGTCATGCTACAGTTTGATCTTATCAGGTTTGCTCCAACATTGTTCATCATATGATTACATTTTTGCATATAAATCTTACATTGGTATGTCTATTTAATATAGAAGTTTTAAAAAAATGGCAAAATTGAAAAGGATAGGACCATGATTCCAGAAARGTGAATAATTGGGTGTTTTAGAAGAATCAATATATTGGATAATAAATGTAATATTTACCCTACCAATTAATGTTGTGAGGACAATGAAGCAAACAAATTAAGAACACAATTCTTAAAAAAWGGGTTAAAGGAATTTTTTAAAATCTCATGAATGAATAAGGTTTCTTGGTCATTAACATACAGTTGAAATGACAAGAAGCATCCATGGATGCCCAAGTAAGGAAGAAATTTATACAAGTTTAGTGATATTTTTATACATGGACAAAGACCAAAAAGAATGAAAATTAGATTTAGCCCATTAGGTTTTATATTCAAGTAAGTAACATAATGGGGGTGGAGAAAAAAAAGAATGATGTAGCCAAATTTGTACCCAAAGTCCCACCTAGCTACAACACCTACTTTCTTAACATATTCACACGCACTCGGTGTGTGTATGTACCATAAGAGAGATATAATTATATAGATACACATGTATCTCAAGAGCATGCATGTTTTTAATTATAAATAATAATTATCGTTGTATTAATTTTGTACCTCTTGCTCTTTTAATTTTTGTTTGCCTTTCTAAAATAAGATTAACGTTGGAGCATTTCTAACAAAATCTTCAAAAGGAGATTCTACAAAATCTTTAAGTGTAAGTGCTTACCGGGTAAAAGACATTTAGGGGGTGTTTGGTTCGTAGAATGAAATTCAATGGAATTGGAATTCATCAAATGAATTTGACTTTGAGGGAATAGAATGGAATCTGATGAAATTTGACCATGGCTTGTGATTGCGTTTGGTTGTATGGAATTGGAATTGAATTCTTAACGGAATTGGAATTTTTTTTGTTGGGTTCACGTAATTCAACTTTGGAATCGGAAATTAAATATCAACAAATGACCTTTTATGATTTTTTTTGTCATTTTTWAAAAAAATTAAAATTACCATTAAACCAAATTACATTATTAACATCAGATAAAATTTGAAATTGTTCACTTATATTACTAATATCTGAAATTTGGATGAGGGCTAAGRAATTTGTAGGAAATGAATTTGAAATCCTTCGTACATCAAGTGGAATTGTGAAATCGGTGACCGAATGAATTTGTAGGAATTGAAAGGATTCTTTCGCTTATAATCTGTGAACCAAACATCATATTTGGAATTTGGTCAAAGGATTGGACATTCCAATTCCTTTCAATTCCACCAAATTGTCATGATCCAAACAGCCCCTTATAATAATTCTCTTTTATGATCGATAATGTTAAACGATAGGATAAATAAGGGTATTAATTTTTTCCGGTAAGCACTTACCTGACAAAGGTTTAGTAAACGACCCCTTATTAAAAAAATCAAGAGTTGGATTTTAATACACCCCTTTTTCAACAACTAAACTCATAAAGTGTTACTCCCCACTCCTCACTCATAGGATTTAAAACTAACTCATAAGATATTATTAGTCATCCATTTGTTTTTCAGATTCAAATAACATTTTTTATGACTATTGCTTATATTTTATCTTCATCATTAAAKACATCCTCAGATGTGCCACAACCAGCATGGCCCGAAGGCATCCTACTGTATTCAATTTCAAGAGAGGCTGTTATTAACGATGAAGACCGTGATGAATGTGATACTAATATTGGTGATGAAGAATATTATGAAAGTGACGATGTTGTTAGACATCAAGAAGTGTTACAAGAAAGTCAAATGGTTATATCTTCACTAGAAATTAATGATGCAAATGAAKAATAGTTCATATCATG